GAAATTCGCGAGGCAAAAATAATGTTTTTTGGTTGCACTATATTACCTATAGCGACAACGTAGTCTGTGAGTTTTAAGTCGTCGACAGCGTTCATAACTATCGCTTGTTCTTTAGCTGGGAATTGCGGCGCCGAAGTCGCCATTTTGATTTCTCGTTCGTTTAAGCTTTGTCAGTATACCGCTGCGCCGGACAGGCGAGCAATACAGACTGTTACTGTGGTCAATGCAAAAAGAGGGAGAACCTATCAGCACTTCCAAGATAAGCGAGAGACAAAAACTCAAGTACAGTAAAACCTGTCTATGCCGGAATCCTGTGGGTTGAGTTACCTATCAGGCGCGTCCCCAGTGTTGCGGATAGGGGGAGACCGGCATTGTCTGGGGAAGGGGGGTCTGGGGAGGGCGGATATGCCCCCGGGAACTAAACACTCTTGGGGGTGGTGGAAGTCCGACCTGGATTTTTCCCTTCTCCAGATATGTAGGTTAGGGCTGAGGCTCGTCTTGCCTGGACATGCCTTGGTGGTTGTCGGCTTAGACGGCCGCGAAGGCGGTTCAGTAGAGGAGGGCTGGAAATAAACGTGCCCCCCCGGGATTAAACCCCTGGTGTGGGGTCGTCAAAACAGCCCCGCGGACAAGCTCCCGCGTGTTTGTGCCGTGCGTGGAGACCCGTAAGGTGGGATGAAGGAATCCTGGAGGTTGAGCCCCCCTTGGTGCAGTGTGTCACCAAGGCTGGGCAACACGCCTCTTTGGCCTGGATTTCCACCAAAACGGGAGGTCGAGACTAACCCATCTCAGATCAATCGGCTGTGTCGTCGGGTCAGACCGCCGACAGGGTGAGTCCTTGGGGGAAGTGTAGTCTGAGCACGAGTAACCTCACTAGTTGAGGCTGCGTACTGCAGGATGAGCTTCCCTGGGGGCTATATCCTTCTGCTAGCCCTGACGTCGAAGTTCGGCGTCCCCTTGTTGGACTCCGTGGTGGGTGGGGACGCAGGAGGACGAAATCAAAATCCAGATTATGGAAATCGAAAACAATAAAAAAACCACTGAGGAAGTGCCTTCGGGTGCACCTCAAACAGGAAACCCAGCCAATGTGGGGTCGCAGCCTCCTAGGAGGAAGCGAATCTGCGGGGCTGAGGTAAAAAGGCGGAGGAAGGCTCGTTTGCAGGCGGAGGCGGCGAATACCGACCCGCCGAAACCGGGTCCATCCTCCTCCGGGATAAACCTCAAGGGTAAAGGGCAGGCTACGATAGCCAACCCTAAACAACCCGCGGGGAAAAAGACCTCAGGGTCAAAGAAGAGAGTGAGGTCTTCAACCTCCACACCTCCGGCAGCTGAGAAGCAAAAGAGGATGAGGAGGCAGGAGACTACCTCTAGAGAACAGAGCTACAGGGAGGCGGCTGCAAGTCATCTCCGTGTAGCTGTGATTGATGTGCAGCATCCACTTGGTAAGCTGACTGCTGGCCAGGTGGATATAGTACAAAAGGGCCTGATGGGAGCGCTGGACAGGCAACTGGACCAGTGCTTGGCATCGGGTAGACAAGCAGCCACTTTCAGGGGCATGAAGTACACAGGGGAAGTCCTAAGGATAACCTGTGAAGACGAGTTGTCCCTGAAATGGCTACAACAAACAGTGCGCTCCCTAACACCCTTGTGGGAGGGCGCACAACTTAACGTGGTCCCCTTGGCTGAGCTACCAAGGCTGGTGAGGGCGACCCTGTGGATACCGGGACCACCGGTGGATGCAGGAGTCGTACTTCGCCGCCTGGAGGGTCAGAACCAATGGGCCCACGTCAAAAAATGGCTTCTTTTCCATCGCGAGGCCAAACCCGAGGCTGCCTCTCCAGGCAACCTCTTTGTGTTTGGTCTTGGGATGGAAGAGGCCAAGATAATCAGGGAGAGAGAGGGCAGAATTAATTATATGCTGTCCTCTTTCAACCTGAAACTCAAGGAGAACGAGGCGTCGGCTCAGGAAGGGCGGACCCCTATGGAAGAGGTAGAAACCCCAGGGGATGAAGCCTCTACCAGTGGGGGCGGGCCCGCCTGAGAATGTGCCTCGTGTCTCCTAGGACAATTATGGGATTTTTGGTTGCAGAGATGGCGCTGCAGCAGATAAATTTCATTCAGATTAACCTGCAGCATTGTCGCATGGCGACGACTGTTTTGTGTCGTCGTCTAGACAAGATGCAGAACACTATAGCAATAATCCAAGAACCATGGATTGTAAAATCCAGGATCGCAGGGTTGAGCAATTTAAATGGCACTGTTGTTTCAGGTACCACAATAGAATCTCCAAGGACATGCGTCTACATTCCGAGGAAAATCAAAGCCGTCCTCCTACCTCAGGTCAGCTCCAGGGATGTGACTGCGGTAAATGTTAAGTGTAACATAGGAAGAGGCGAAGAGCAACTGGTAATAGCATCTGTGTACTTACCACAGGGAGCACAGGAACCATGTCCAACATGGGAAATGGCGAACTTGGTGGAACACTGTGATACCGGAAATATAAACCTCATCATCGGTGCCGATGCGAATGCCCACTGTCTGTTGTGGGGGAGCAAAGACACTAATGATAGAGGAAGAACACTAGCTGAATATCTTTTATCAACAAATCTAGAGATTCTCAACCGAGGCTGCGAACCAACTTTCGTAACATCACGTAGTCAGTCAGTAATAGATATTACACTGGCTACATGGGATATCTCACAATATATAATGGGATGGCACGTCTCTAAAGAGGCGTCAGTGTCAGACCATAGATGGATCATGTATACATCAAAATGTATAGACATGGAGATAAAGACGTACAGGAACCCTAGGCTGACGAACTGGGCTTTATACAACGAAGAACTGGACGACAGACTGGGGACCTCCGTGCAGTCTATACCAACGGAATACATTTCGACAGAAGACATAGAGAAAACCTTGACCATTATCAACGACTCTCTAATGTCAGCGTATGAGAAAAGTTGCCCCCTAAAGAAGGAAGGTCTGGGCAAAGGTACACCATGGTGGAACCGAAGGCTCAGCCTACTTCAATCGGGGCTAAGAAAACTTTTCAATAGAGCAAAAAACACTAAGAAAACTGAAGACTGGGAAGCCTATAAAGAGCACCGGAAAGAGTTTAAAAAAGAATTAAGAAAGAGGAAACGGGAAACGTGGAGATCCTTCTGCAGCGACATAACGTCGACTGCTTCGGCCGCAAGGCTGAAGAGAGTTCTCTCGAAGGACCACACACATCAACCAGGTTTCCTAAAGAAAGAAGATGGCACCTTTACAGCCACCTTAGAAGAGTCCGCAGAACTTTTGCTGCAGACCATGTTTCCAGGCAGCACACGGACTACCTCCCATTCCAAAAGGGATGTAGTCGGTACTCAACCTTCCCCGAAGGACTGGGCGCTGGCTGCAAAGGTAGTCACGGAGGCAAGACTGGAGTGGGCAGTGGACAGCTTTTCCCCATACAAATCTCCAGGAGTTGACGGTATTTATCCCGCCCTCCTGCAGAGGGGAATGAGCAGACTACGCCCTATTTTGTTGCCAATGCTTCGGGCGTGTCTGGCTTTCAGCTACATACCGAATGCATGGCGAAAAGTAAAGGTTATCTTTATACCTAAGCCAGGACGACAAGATTACACCTTGGCTAAATCCTACAGACCAATTAGCTTAACATCATTCTTGCTGAAAACGCTAGAAAGACTAAGCGAAAAAGAGATTCGGGAGACTGCTTTGAGCAAGCAACCTCTACATCCGAACCAACATGCCTACATCCAAGGAAGATCCACCGATACGGCCCTACACACAGTTGTAAACCGTATAGAGTGGGCGATGGAGAACAAACTCTTCACCTTAGGAATGTTTTTGGATATTGAAGGAGCGTTTGATAAAACGACCTTCAAAAGCATAGAACTAGCCCTACGAAAGCACGACGTGGACCCCACCCTAAGTAGGTGGGTGGCCAGTATGCTGAGGAACAGGGAAGTAATGATTAATGTAGGTGGCACTGAGATCGAGGCTGTTGTAGACAGGGGATGTCCTCAGGGAGGAGTTCTCTCTCCTGTACTGTGGGATACTGTCGTTGACAGCCTGATACGACGCCTCAATGATCTTGGCTACCACACAATTGGATACGCGGACGATCTAGTCATTCTGCTAACAGGAAAAAACGCAGATACATTATGTGAGATAATGCAAGCTGCAGTAAAAATAGTCGAGGAATGGTGCAACAGACATACCCTCTCCGTTAATGGAGAAAAGACGAAACTAATCCTGTTCACCAGGAAAAGGAAAATTGGCACACTACAGATGCCAAAAATATTTAACACAACGCTTCAACTTTCGGACGAAGTCAAATACCTGGGAGTTGTATTGGACTGGCGACTGAATTGGAAGAAGCATGTAGATGATAAAGTAGAAAAGGCACGCTCGGCTCTCTGGCAATGTCGTAGGGTGGTGGGAAGGTCGTGGGGTTTAAATCCCAAGATCGCCCTTTGGATCTACACGGCAATAGTCAGACCGATGCTGTGCTATGGAGCTTTAGTTTGGTGGCCCAGAGCCAGACAAAAAACAACAGCCCTGCAACTTGAACACGTTCAGAGAATGGCGTGTCTCAGTGTTACAGGAGCAATGAGGACCACTCCCACAGCGGCTCTGGAGACTCTTCTTTGCTTAGCACCTCTCAACCTTTACATAGAGGAAGCGGCAATGACGACGTCTCTAAGACTTCACTCTCTGGGAGTATGGAACAAGCAAGGCCGCACAACGAAGCACACTCGGATCTTAACGGAGGCGTTCAACAGAATACCCTTGTTGAGGATGGGTTGTGACCGAATGGGCACAAAATTAATATATGAGAAGACATATAGAATATCAATGAGTGATAATTCAGAAGGACGAGCCGACATAGATATCTATGTCGATGGTGCCAAAACAGATAGTGGTTCAGGAGCCGGCATCTACTCCGAACAACTGAACGTACAAATCAGTGTACCTCTCGGCACCCACACGTCTGTCTTACAAACAGAATTGATGGGAATAATGCTGGGAGCTAGAATCATTGCTGAACGTGAAATCGGCAACAAATCAATACGCATACTTACTGACAGCAAGTCTGCACTACTAGCCCTGGACAGCTGTATGGTTCGATCCGGGCTGGTTTGGGAGTGCAGACAAACGCTAAAGTATGTAACGCAGAGGAATAGTGTGGTACTTTGTTGGATCAAAGGACACAGTGGCAACGAAGGAAACGAGAGGGCAGATGAGATGGCGAAGCGAGCCGCGCGCATGCCCTTCTGGGGACCCGAACCGGCAATCACGCCTTCGGTCGCCCTCTCGAACGAACTCGTAAAGCAATATACCCATAGACGCCATGAGCAGATATGGGCGACGTTGAGCAGCTGTCGGCATAGTAGAGCTTGTATGGCGACACCAGACCGTAAGTTGACAAAATTTTATCTCTCACTTTCAAGGGACAAATTGCGTAAACTGGTAGGATTCCTTACGGGACATTACCAGTTTAACAAACATCTACATACGATAGGGGTAGCAACAGACCCAATCTGTCGTGGATGCAATGAAGAAGAGGAAACAGCTGAGCACATTCTTCGTGAGTGTCCAGCCCTAGCCTCCTACAGGGAATCCATACTAGGGGACATCTGGCCTAGTATGGCAAATATCAGGGAGTTTCCACCCTCTGCATTACTCAAGTACATTCAAGCAGTTGGATGGCTTGACGAGTAGAGGAGCGGGAAAACACCCTGATATGGACTTGGGGAAGGTACAATGGGCCCAAAGACGAGGCCTAAGTGCCGGCTGGCTACGGTCAGCCCCCATAAATTAAGAATCCAGAATCCAGATGCCGGAATCGCGCGGGTCCAAAATTTTTATCCGTCTTAAACAGGGTTCCGGCAGGAAACACGCCTATGACGGAAAGTAAACCTCTATAAAACGGAAATCAATTTTTATTAAATTGAATACATAGGTACATATATATAAAAGGATTATTTGAAATAGTTGTTTATGGTTATTTGCTTTTTCGCTCATTAAGATATATTTTCCATGCTTGTTCTCAATTGCAAAAGGTTGGCTACACACTCACCGCTTTGCCATTACTCTCTAATTTATTTTAGGATATGTCTTATAATTTGATACACTTGCGTTTTTTACAACCGAACTTTTGCAAATTTCTTTAACACTCAAATTTTGCTGCTTGTGTACATTAATTAAATCCATTTAGTTGTTATTGTTGGTGTTTTTTTGGGCCATTGCGAACACACAGAGACACCAATTAAATGAGAATTGAGAACAGTGATTTCCTGTTGACAAAAAATGCACCTGCAGGTCCACGAATTGAATTATATATTTTTCGTAGAAATCATCAACTTTGTTCTCGCTTCCGTTTTACACAGAGTTGGGTGCATGTACTTTGACACGTTGGGACTTACAAATATTTTCCGTTTCCGCGTTATACAGTTTCCGGCTTATACGGACCAAAATACATTAAATTGGGTATTTGAAAAAACGGGACTGCGGAAAATTTCCGCGATGAGCAGTTTTCCGCCTTCTACAGAGTCCGGCATAGACAGGTTTCACTGTACCGAATTAATGGGGAAGCATGTAATTTGCTTCCCCTTCACTAAGGGTTGAAGCTGTTTAGCACAACCAACTCTTAGATTCTACAACTTTTCGCTAGCCAAATTTAATAAAATAGCAAGAAACGAGCTCACCGGTAGAAGCAAATACGTCTGGAGAGAGGGTACACTGCTCACTCACAATTAGATTAAGTTTTAATTAAATTGTTTCAATAAATATTATTTGTTTAACATAAAAGTTTCATTTCAATCTTCACTAAAAAATGTTCATTATGGTTCAAGCTATTGTCACCCTAACAATATTTCGGTGACAATAGCTTGAATCGTAATGAACATTTTCTACTTCACTTTCACATGCTTTTATTAATAGCGATTCCTTTAAAATTCGCGCAATTTTTGATTTAGTTGGCCCCACCTCCACTGGCGGCGCGCTATTTCTATTACCATTGGTAGTACCATTGTTTAAGTATATTATAGTTGGACAACCTATACGGAGAATCACTTTCCCATGTAGAAAAGAATGAACATATATTTTTCATCTCACTCGCTTCACTGTGAAGTGGCGGTACCTTACGAAAGGAGGTAAAAATAGTCTGTAAGCACGTGATGTCGATAAGGTAGTAAACGGACGTATTAGTCAGTACGTTGTACGGGGAGCAGTCACAAAATTAGCGAACGTACGTGTTGAAGACTTTACATATATGTAATATATTTATATGTAGTGCATACCTGTTTCCTGTATGTGGCAGCACGTATATTTGCACAAAAACAAATAAAGGTTAAGGTAACAAAAATTTAATATTATCGCAGTATATTGTCCATGAACTGCATGGCTAACATATATACGTCCCTTCGTCCACCACTTTAAAGGCACAAAATTAAACGACCACTACTTTAATTAATAAGTAAGAAGTCATCTAGCTTGCCTCCAGAATAACTATGGGTTATCATCAAACTATGAACACCAAATTAATTCAGTATGAACATCTTACGTATTTTTTTTATTAACAGTAGTTAAATCACTAAATACATATCTTTGAAACTAAAATGCATTTTATCACAAAATATTTACCACCATTTAAATATTTAATTTAAAATCGCAAAAATTAAATGTAGCAGACTTAAAACAGCCTTAAACGCGTCTTGTATGTACGTGCTTATCAGTATGTAGGCATTTGAACGCACAGCAATAATCGTTCTTGATGAGTGATGACTACTGTACTTTAAAACATTGAAAAATTCAAATGTGGGAAAATTGTAAAATCGAGAAATCGAAACATAAAATAATCAAAAAAATTTAAAAATCGAGAAATTGAACAATCGGTTAAGTCAAAAATCGAAACATCGAACAATTGGAAAATCGAAAAATAAAAAAAAAATTGGAAAATCGAAAAAAACTAATAATTTAAAAATTGAAAAGTTAATATTGAGAAATCGAAAAACTGAAAAATCACAAAATTGAACGAAATATCCAAAAATTAGGAAATTAAAAAATTGAGAAACAGAAAAGTCAAAAAAGCAGAGTCGAAAAATCGCAAACTTAAAAAATCGAAAAATTGAAAAATCAAAAACCTGAATAATCGAAAAATTGAAGAACTGAAGAACTGAAAAATCGAGAAACCGAAAAATCTAGAAATTTAAAAATTAAAATATGGAAAACTTGAAAAATTGAGAAATTGAAATATAAAACAATCGAAAAATTGAAAAATTTAATGTATAAAAAACAAAAAACTGAAAATCCAAAAATAAAAAATCGAAAAATCAAAGAATCGAAGTATTGCGAAGTCGAAAAATTGAAGAATTGTAGAACTGAAAAATCGAAACTTTGAGAAGTGGGAAAATCAAAAATAGATTAATTGAGAAATCAGAAAACTGAAAATTTAACGTCAAAATTTTTTCATTGAAAAATTTAAATACTGAAGAACTGAGAAGTCAAAAAATCGAGAAATCGAAAAATCTAAGATTCAAAACATTGAACAATTAAAATATCGCAAAATTTAAGAATCGAGAAATCCAATTCAATCTAAAAAATTGAAAAATTGAAAAATCGGAACATTAAAAAATTGGAAAATCCAGAAATTGAGAAGTTCAAAAGAAAAAAATCGAGAAACCGAGAAATCCAAAAATCGAAACATCGAAAAATTCAAAAACTGAGACATCGAGAAATCGAAAAATCGAAGGATCGAGAAATTGAGGAGTCGTAAGTCGAAAAGGAAAGTTAAAAATTGAAAAATCGATAAATTGAGAAACTGAACAATCAACGAAACATCTGAATTCGATAAATTGAGAAATTAAAAAATTGAATAATCGAAAAATTTTAAAAATAGAAAAACTGGAAAATCGAAAATTAAAATTAAAAAATTTGAAAAATTGAAAAATTGAAATATAGAAGTATTGAAAACTCGAGATATCGAAAAACCTAGAATTTTAAAAAATGAAATATTAAAACATCGAAAAAAAGGTATAAAACAGTCGAAGAATTGAAAAATCTAAAGTTTAACAATAAATTGAAAATCCAAAAAGTAAAAATCGAGAAATGGAAAATTTGAAGAATGGAAGAATTGGAAAAGCCCAAAATTGAAATATTGAAAAATTGAGACATTTAAAGTTGAAAAAGCCAGAAATCGAAAAGCCGAAAAGTCTCAATAGCGTATTTATAAATCACAAGATCAGGACTATGCTATTTTTTAAAATTTAAATAACATTATAAATTGGAAAATGTTCAAAATGCTCAAAAATCTTGACGTCCAAGGTGAAAACTCAACACGGATGCATAAACCGTAAACGGAGGATATAGTATTGTAAAATTAAATAACAATAAAAGTCTTCAACACGTACGTTCGCTAATTTTGTGACTGCGCCCCGTACAACGTACTGACTAATACGTCCGTTTACTACCTTATCGACATCACGTGCTTACAGACTATTTTTACCTCCTTTCGTAAGGTACCGCCACTTCACAGTGAAGCGAGTGAGATGAAAAATATATGTTCATTCTTTTCTACATGGGAAAGTGATTCTCCGTATAGGTTGTCCAACTATAATATACTTAAACAATGGTACTACCAATGGTAATAGAAATAGCGCGCCGCCAGTGGAGGTGGGGCCAACTAAATCAAAAATTGCGCGAATTTTAAAGGAATCGCTATTAATAAAAGCATGTGAAAGTGAAGTAGAAAATGTTCATTACGATTCAAGCTATTGTCACCGAAATATTGTTAGGGTGACAATAGCTTGAACCATAATGAACATTTTTTAGTGAAGATTGAAATGAAACTTTTATGTTAAACAAATAATATTTATTGAAACAATTTAATTAAAACTTAATCTAATTGTGAGTGAGCAGTGTACCCTCTCTCCAGACGTATTTGCTTCTACCGGTGAGCTCGTTTCTTGCTATTTTATTAAATTTGGCTAGCGAAAAGTTGTAGAATCTAAGAGTTGGTTGTGCTAAACAGCTTCAACCCTTAGTGAAGGGGAAGCAAATTACATGCTTCCCCATTAATTCGGTACAGTGAAACCTGTCTATGCCGGACTCTGTAGAAGGCGGAAAACTGCTCATCGCGGAAATTTTCCGCAGTCCCGTTTTTTCAAATACCCAATTTAATGTATTTTGGTCCGTATAAGCCGGAAACTGTATAACGCGGAAACGGAAAATATTTGTAAGTCCCAACGTGTCAAAGTACATGCACCCAACTCTGTGTAAAACGGAAGCGAGAACAAAGTTGATGATTTCTACGAAAAATATATAATTCAATTCGTGGACCTGCAGGTGCATTTTTTGTCAACAGGAAATCACTGTTCTCAATTCTCATTTAATTGGTGTCTCTGTGTGTTCGCAATGGCCCAAAAAAACACCAACAATAACAACTAAATGGATTTAATTAATGTACACAAGCAGCAAAATTTGAGTGTTAAAGAAATTTGCAAAAGTTCGGTTGTAAAAAACGCAAGTGTATCAAATTATAAGACATATCCTAAAATAAATTAGAGAGTAATGGCAAAGCGGTGAGTGTGTAGCCAACCTTTTGCAATTGAGAACAAGCATGGAAAATATATCTTAATGAGCGAAAAAGCAAATAACCATAAACAACTATTTCAAATAATCCTTTTATATATATGTACCTATGTATTCAATTTAATAAAAATTGATTTCCGTTTTATAGAGGTTTACTTTCCGTCATAGGCGTGTTTCCTGCCGGAACCCTGTTTAAGACGGATAAAAATTTTGGACCCGCGCGATTCCGGCATAGACAGGTTTTACTGTACTTGAGTTTTTGTCTCTCGCTTATCTTGGAAGTGCTGATAGGTTCTCCCTCTTTTTGCATTGACCACAGTAACAGTCTGTATTGCTCGCCTGTCCGGCGCAGCGGTATACTGACAAAGCTTAAACGAACGAGAAATCAAAATGGCGACTTCGGCGCCGCAATTCCCAGCTAAAGAACAAGCGATAGTTATGAACGCTGTCGACGACTTAAAACTCACAGACTACGTTGTCGCTATAGGTAATATAGTGCAACCAAAAAACATTATTTTTGCCTCGCGAATTTCAAATGGCCGTATTTGCATATACATGAGCTCTAAACTGTTGGTTGATCAAGTAGTTGCTGATCATCCGGTGATCACAATTAAAGATTTTGAAGTCAACATAAGACGTCTAATGAACCCGGCACGTCGCATTATCTTTTCAAATGTATGTCCTTCAGTTCCCCACAACGTTATAGAGAATCTTGTTCAAACCCTAGGTTTTACTGCAGTATCGAAAATGTCATTCTTAAGAGCGAGTATTGAAGGTGACGAATTTAAGCATGTGCTAAGTTTCCGAAGGCAAATCTACATTCAGCCTGATGACTCTATTAACCTCCCTTCTTCCATGGTCATAAAGTACGATAACACGAATTACAGGATCTTTCTTAGCTATGATGATGTTTGTTTCAAGTGTAAAGTCTCAGGCCATTTTGCTAGTGACTGTCCAAACCAAACTGAACCCACTGACCAAACGGATACTTCCAACTCGTCGATTCCTCTGGATTTGGCTGTTGGTAAATCTCGTGCTTTAGACGACCAATTGGAGACTTCTAATCTGGTTACCCCCTCACCTTCGACTACCGCGAAGCGCTCTGCCCCTGATGAACCTTCGATTGAATTCATCCCCCCTGATCAACCACAGCTAAACCTTGATGACACAGACCAAAGTGTAGGGGGGAAAAAAATTAAACCTTCCGATTCAACCGAAAGCCTTACTCCAACATCTGAAATACTAGCACCCGCTGAACAACTAATTAACAATGCTCACTACCCTCTCACCTTCGAGGAGACTGTTGCCTTTCTTGAGAAGGCTGTTGGAAAACCGGATATTCTAAGTCTTATTAGGGAATATACTAATGACATTTATGGTGTTCTTATAATGCTTCACGACATTTACCCTCTTGTGTCGCACAAAAACTTGAAAAATCGATGCAAAAAAATTCAAAAGAGAATTAAAAAAGCCTTAAGTTCCCTGCCAGAGGAACATGGCACAGATCTATCCGGTCTGTTTCAGACTCCCATGACGGCCGCTTTGTAAACGTAATTTACTGCAGTATCCTACACTTTCGGTTTTTTCTTATAAGGTTTTTAAATTCTTATAACCCCTATTAAAATTCGATTCCCATTATAATAAAAATACTCTCTTCCCACAGTTCTTTAAAAATACTGTATCTGTTAAATATTTTGTTGGCAATTTAGTATACACTAATATAGCTTCCCTGATGGCAAAATATGACGACTTCTCTGTGCTGGTGCAATCTTTGAAACCGACTTTTATAATGTTGTCAGAGTCGTGGTTAAGCCCTGCGATTCCTGATACATTAGTGGCTATAAACGGTTACACTCTTTTTAGGAACGACCGGGACGGCAGAAGGGGTGGCGGTGTGTGTATCTTTGTAGAGGACTTGATTTGTTCCAGTTTCACAATTAATATCTTAAGCTCGGAAGTCGGCAATAATGAAGCACTATTTCTCAAATTATCGAACAGTAGTATCTCATTTGTGTTAGGATGTATATACAGACCCCCAGACTCTGCAATTGGTGATGATAGAAAACTCTTTACGTTTGTGTCAAAAATTGCCGATAGCTGCGACAGACTGATTATAGCGGGAGACTTTAATTTACCTGACATAACCTGGCCTCTTGATCATAACGCTAATTTTGACGCCCCTTCCCAGTTGTTGCGTGATGTACTGATAAACAGTCATCTAGAGCAAATTATTACTAAACCGACCCGTTATAGAACGAACCAAACACCGTCAACCCTCGATCTAATTATCACCTCGGACGATAAGTTACTAGCAAACTTGGATTATCTGGATCCTGTTGGTAAATCTGATCACGTGGTGTTAAAGGTTGAAGTGCAAATCTGTTTTGAAAGATGAAGGAAGATTACCTCTACTTGTAGGGTTATTACGAATTATGAGCTGGTCAACAGAGATCTGTTCAACACTGACTGGTCCACCATTCTTGTGGAACCATCTGTAGAAGACAATTGGACTAGATTTAAGAAACAGCTTAATTCTGTGGTGACCAAACACACAGTTTCCGTAGTAAGAAAACAGTCTTCAAATAAACCATGGATCACCAAACAGATTCTCAAACTTATTAGAAAAAAGGGGGCGCTGTGGCGATGTTACAAGCGCACTGGTAGCGAGAGTGATTACAAGGCACACAGAGTGTTTTCAAACAAAGTTTCTGCTACTATAAGAGATGCCAGATGCAACTATGAGAAGCGCATTGCTGCTTTAAAAGATGTGAAATGTTTTTACAAATACGTGCGGTCTTCCTTAGTTGGGCCTGTGAAGACCCCTCACCTAAGAGACGTAAGTGGACGTGTCACTGAGGATAGTCAATTGGTCGCTAATTTGTTTGCGGACACGTTTGCTAAAGTTTTTACAATTGACACAAATTCTAATCTCCCTACTGTACAGACACCCCCAAATTCCACAACTATTACTTCCGTTGAATTCTCTGAGGCAGCAATAGCTAAAAAGATATCTAAACTGCGCATAACCAAATCTCCTGGACCAGATAGCATTACCGTGAGTCTTCTCAAAAAGTGCCAATGTTTGTGCCAACCTTTAAAGATTCTAATGGAGCAGTCATTTGAGTCGGGGACTCTTCCTCTTGAATGGAGGTCCGCGGTGGTGAAACCCATATATAAAAAGGGTGATAAGTTTGTTGCTGACAATTATAGACCTGTCAGTTTAACGTCTCACGTAGTCAAAATCGCTGATTCCATTGTTTATGATGTGTTGATAGAGTTTATGATTAACTGTAATATACTCCCTACAGAGCAACACGGATTTGTGCCTGGTAGGTCTGTTACTACAAATTTACTCTGTAGTCTTGAGGACTGGACCAAGACGCTTGATTCCGGCGAATCAACTGATGTTCTGTACTTGGACTTCTCGAAGGCCTTCGATCGAGTGCCTTTGCGACATCTTCTATTTAAACTCAACCATTTTGGCGTTCGTGGAAACCTTCTTCGCTGGATAGAGGCTTTTCTTTCTAATCGGTTGTTCAGTGTTAAAGTGGGTGACGTATTTAGTATGCAGAGAAGAGTGCTGAGTGGAGTTCCTCAGAGATCGGTACTTGGGCCCCTTCTTTTTGTGATCTATACCTCCGACATTAAATATTCTTTGAAATCCCCTTTTGTAATGTATGCGGATGACCTGAAGATCTATAATAAGAGTTGCAATTTCACTGTTCTGCAAAATGACTTAGATGTGGTTGCCAATTGGTCGTGTACATGGTTGCTGCCTATTAACTCCGCAAAATGCGTCGTGCTATATACTATAATAGTAGCCGAAATCCAAAGCATGATTATCATGTGAATGGCACGCAACTATTCAAGGTTGACGCTTATCGTGACCTGGGTGTAATGGTGTCATCCTCTCTGTTGTGGTCCGAGCACATAGCTGAAGTAGTTAAGAAGGCGAATAGAATTATATTTCTTATTAGTCGGACGTTTAGGGCTATTACAATATCGATGTTCATCAATTTATATAAAACGTCAGTTCGACCAGTTCTAGAATTTGCCAATACTGTATGGGCACCGTCTCTGAAAGGCGATATTGCATTATTGGAGGGTGTACAGCGTCGTGCCACTCGTTTGCCGTTTGGGAGAGTTCGCCCTTCATATGAAGGGAGACTGGCCCTAATGCACTTACCTTCCTTGGCTGATAGAAGGGTAAGGGGGACATGATTACAACATTTCAAGCGCTTACTAACAACAACTCAGTGATACGGTCCTTTTTTAAACTAGACATGCGTGGTCGGACTAGGGGTCATTCCTTTAAATTAGTTAAAGGTAACTTTATAACAACAGCTAGACAGATATACATTGTTAACAGGGTGTTTGGTAAGTGGAATTCTTTACAAACGGAGGTTGTGTTGAGTGACTCAGTTTTAAGTTTCAAACGTAGCTACGATCAGTATAACAAAGTGTAGGTATTAAAGATGCGCGGGCACAACAGGCTTAGGCCTCTGCCCGATCGCAGTTTCATAATAATAATAATAATAATTAAATCACAGAGACAATAATATTTATTCCTACAGGTAACACCCAATTACAGGAATAATATCAAACTAACTAAACTAATTCATGACAGCAACTAAAAAGTATAAATATTTAAAAAACAAAAATATTTATAACTAATTAAACATTAAACCAAATTTACAATGCAATTACAAATCTACAACTAGAATCTAAATTAATATCACATAAATGTGCAATTTTGTTGAATAAATTAGACATAGCCGAAACTGAAGAGCGAACTGAGATGTTTGTACGGCTAGAAATCAGTATAAAACAGAACTATATATTAAATCAATACAGTCTAATTTATTGTGAAATAAATTGTATAAAAGTTGATAATAAAAAAGAGATAACGATAATATCAAATTTGTCTTATTATCAACGGGCGGAATGATGTTTCAGACGCTCGATCCAGTGCTGCTGCGTCGATATTTTGATTACAAATATATTTTTCTTTTGGACTATATCAACATAATATAACATTTCAAGATCATAAATCTGTGTCTCCTGTGGTTGAAAAATTAATAAGGGCACCGAGTATTAGTATTTGAAGTAATATAGTAATATAGAAGTAGTTTTTTTACTAGCTGTAAACAGTCCTAGAGACGACCTTGTGGACCAGATCAAAGCGTCCCCGCTACTCGCCATAAAACACACCTTGCTTCAACTGGGGAATTGCATCCGTAAGATAAATTTCCGCATACTGCTTATTATATACGAAATGAATGTTTAATTGGTGTTAGAAGATGTTGGAAAATTGACTACACGTTTAGGTGATCATGCTTACGTTTTTATGATCAGAGGGCTTCATCGGTATTATTATCTTTCACATGTAGTAGTCCCTCTACAAAATCAAATAAACTTAAAAAAATGCCAGGAAATATGACTTGAAGTTGTTACAACAGTCAAAGATCTGCAAATCAGGCTGCGATCAATTCTTTAATTAAAGAATCAGAAGGATGAATTCAAAGGAAAAACTGAGATGTACTATGGTGGTTTTGTCATCAATAATAATTGAAGATAATTCCACTGTTGCAGAATGGGAACACATTAAAACATTCTATTTAATAGACACAAAAAAAAATGTACGAATCCGCCCAAAATTAACAGATATCATAAAATAAAGGTGTCATGGTTCAGGTGTTTAGTCAATAAGTAGGTGTCAAAATGGAGCAAAGTAAACATTTTACCCTCAGAAGCAGCAGATACAGGAGATTTACTTTTGTTCTTCGACATATTGTTTGACAGCCTAAATTGCAATGAGAAAGTTCCTTTTCTAGCAAAAGCTATAAAAAGTAACTGGTGTTACTGCTACTGATATTGTAAATGGTATGCGTTTTTATGATGCCAAAAAGCACCAATATGTTAAAGTTCTGTAGCCTTTAAATTTAGCAAAAACGGTATAACGTTTTGTACAACTCAAAGATTGTTTACTGCAGAAATTAAAGTAATTTTTACCAAGGGCACTTAACCAAGGCTGCCTAGAAACATTTTTCTCGGATTTACGTGGACATTAACGGTATAATACGTCTTCTGACGCAGCTTATTTTATGTCTGCATTTAAGATCCTATTAGTTAATAATTTTGTCCAGCCACTGCCTAGGTGCTAATTGTGAACAACTGTGTCAAAAGCAACAATCGTATACATGCCTACCTGGGATTGTAAAAAAAATGCAAATTATAACTCACTGTTATTACGTGGTACAAAAATTGATCACATTCTGATGATGGAGGTACCATTCGATGTGATTGAAGCGAAATAATGTGTAATCATGCTCCGCTACAAAAGCTTGGTAGCCATTTATATTTTATTATTGAACAATCTTTGTCAAAATATTTTTTTATACCACGACACTGTCACAAAAGTAGTATTCGTATCATGCACCAACCAATATTGCTGAGATATTAGAATTTGTCTGTATTAAATTGCAACGAATATTGCGTAGGCAAAAAACTGTTTAATTAGTGTATTGTAGATTACACTTTTGGTACAAAGATAAGAAGAAGATAATAAATTTGTACAATTCCTAAAAACACTCCATCAACTCTTATTGACCCTAGTAAGTTAACAGCGCAAACAGTAAAATTGTATGTAATATTTTTTTAGAACACTATCCTTTTGTACTAGTTTTTGTCCAGAATTTGAATATTTTTATCATAGGATGCGATAAACTAATTCAAAATGTCAGGATGTGTCCTTAAAGTCGAAAAAAACTAAAAGTAACGAAGAACTTAGAAATATGAAAAAATTAAAACCTGGAGATTGAGAAACTTTCTCTGCTTGAGCCAATCTCATCCGGAGATTGCCTATTTTCTTTCCCATCCTCATTTGTTTTACCGACCAATTCAACGCCATCGAATAAAACCTTTTGCAGCGGGGTGTCAACTGTGCTTGCCTGGTTGTATCAACACTGTGCAAAATGCCCCCTCGTTTTCTCGATGCTGCAAGACAGAAACAAACATAAGTTGATTTTTTGAATGTATGAATGAATTGATTAGTTTACAATTCTTTAAAAAATTCCTCCTGATACTTACATTTCATAGGCGGCGTTGTGCACGAATTATTTTGTGGAGGAGACAAACAAGTTTCATCTTCTACATCTGTAACAATGAAATGATGTTATAAATAATGAGATAATGAGTAGGTATTTCTAGATTCAATAAAAATGTAATTCATGTTTACTCACTTGGGATTACTGGTGATTGAATAAAATCACTAGTTACTGAGGCTGCTTCTTCAACCATTGACGTCAAATGGACGTCATCTTCCTCTTTCCCTTGTAGGACAACTGCAATACAAAAAGCTGTTCTTCAAAGTCTATTGAAAGTAATGAAAATGAACAATTTTACGCTGATATGCTTTTCGATGAAACAAAAGAAATTTCAAGGACTGCAGTACCGAGTATTCCCTCCGCTGGCAGTGAGAACACCTTGCAAACGACGAGGCAAGCTTTGGATAAAATTTTGGATTACATTCAGCGGAAGATTGTTCCATTTCTGCACCACTATGTTGCGAAGACAGACAGATAACACCCAAAAAAAACTATGCTGATAATGGTTTTTAAGAATTTGGCTGGAGGACTCCTTTTTTGTCAAACGCTTATCGAAACAACAACATTTCTTTAAAGCAATCAGTTCGTAGAGTATGTTATATCGGAAAAAAATTACGGGGTGACCCGAATTTTATGCTCGGCAGTGTATATTTTTTATCGCTCATTACTTATTACTGATGACACTTTGTAATACAATTGTAATTGTTTGTACATACCTGCTGATAAACAAATATTCGGAAAAGCATCTCTACGAAGTCCCCGTCTTGTTCCAGGAACTTTGAAATCGGTAGAAAAATGTCTATCACACACATATTTGTTATAGAGTTCGCTTGGTTCCATGGAACTAAAAAGAGGCGCGTTGACATTTTCAATCCATTTTTTCAGCAGCTGTTCCTCTTTGGGAAAACGATGCCTTTTGGACACCTTGTCATCGCAGCCCGGCACACTACATTTATTTTTGTAAATAATCGTACCCTCCATTTCGCTAATCCCTGAAAATAATTCTCTATAGGTATTGATATATTTTTAAATAATATACTAAATGACAAAACAAACCTGAATGAACACATAGAAAAAAAGTACATTTTGTTACCTTACTGGAGTCATAACTTCATCAAGTTACAACATTGTCTTCTCGTTTGCTTACAATTCGTATTAAACACACACAACATGATTAGTTGTTACCCTAACAGTATTCAGTACCTGCAAAGGTGTTTTTGCCTAAATTACTGATATGGTGATGACACCTTTCATATATACCATTGTATATATGTATTATTAGTCAAAAAAGTAGTTTTTCTATGTGTTCGGTTTCTCTTGTCAAGTATTATGATAATTATAACTTACCAAAATATACCAAATACGAGTGCAAAACTATTATCTGCTTGTAGAATATAAACTCAAGAAAGCTTAGAATTCGAAAGTTCAAGTGTTCAAAACGAAATCACAAGACGAAAAGACAAAATACCGTTCAGTAGAACTTTCTCCAAATTTGCTTGTTTAAAATGATTCATCAACCAAAATCGACATGCGTATTGCTCACTGTGCAATTTTAATTAGCAACAGCGCCCCATATCGGACGCCAGAGTAACATTTAGTAGAGACGCAAACCACTGAAATTTTGTTTGCGCTCTCTCCATAAGACTTTCTTGTCTAAAGTGTGTGGTCTGTGGTCATATGGTGAATACAATGACCGAAAACCATAGATGTTAAATTAAGTTACCTAGATACCCGACTACCTAACCCTGCGCTGCAGAGAGAAGTGAAGCTTCAAGGTCGAGTGGCCGCCATTTGTCAGAAAGGCAAAACATTGCTGTCAATGTATGATCGCTTGGTAATATATTAGGAAAATAGTGCTAAATACAGGGTGTTATTGAAATACATGGAAACAAAAAATCTGGTGAATGTAGGGAACCTAAGAAGTCAAATGAACGTTTGTTGTTTTAGTAAAATTTTGAAAGGAAAATTTAACCCCTATCCAAACATTCATTCCTCCACTGATAAATAATGGTTTCACGAAAAAATGTGAAACCTAGTAACTGAAAACTGCCGAGGTGTAACTACTGTTGCTATTAATTTATTGCTAGCAACAAATAAACAATGACAATAATTAATGAACTGACAATTAAAACTTCAAAATCATAATTTAATCGACCATAAAATGAAACAAAACGTAACGTATGCAACTAGAGCAAGTTTTCAAAATGTCCACTACCATTTCGTATACACGCTTCCGCACGTCTAATCAATGATTGTTGCCTTGTTCATGTAGAGTTCTCCACACCAGAAAAGGTGAAACTCCCACTCGGTAAGACAATCGTCTAATGCTTATACCTGGATCGTTTTCAACGACATTCAAAATTTCTTCTTCGGCATCAAGTGTCCGTTCTGTCCTTTCACGACCACGATCACTAAAACGAGGTTGAAATTTCCCATTTTCTCGTAGACGCTCAACAACGTTAGCAAATGTTTTATGATTTGGCAATCTTCGTTCGGGAAATGCTTCTTGGTATAAACGTCGAGCTTCCAAGGAGTTTCTTAAGGCTTGTCCATACATCAGAACCATGTCAGTCATTTCAGAATTAGAAAAATTCATTTTGTTCTTCCAAAAAATTGCAAAAAAGCCAGTAAATTGTGTAGTGACCCTTTCACTGAAAGTGATTATTTGGTGCGTCCTGGCACGTATTTACTGCTTAGGTATTTTTTTAATTTTAATGACTTCTGATTTATGTAAGAATTGGAAAACTATTTTAATTATTTTTCCTCAATAACGTAACATTTGTAGTATATTTTAAGTTATATGTACTTTTGTTGTATGTCAGGATTGGCAAGCTAACAATAAAATGTGCATCTGATTTCCTTAGAACAAATAAATCATATTTTACCCTTACTTTCACCATTACCGTAATACGATTCTACAGTATTTTGCCTCTTTGACAAATGGCCGCCATAGGCTTCACTTTACGCGACGCAGTTGCGCATCTAGTAGAGTATAAGGTTAAAATCTATGCCGAAACGGCAACTATGGACGAAGCGGCACAATATTGCGAACTACTGAAGTAAACTGATGGGAGTCGCAGAACGTAAAAGTGCACGTCTCTAGTAATTACATACAATTTTTAGCCTTGTAACTGAAATAAGGAATATACATATAAAAATTTTATGTAATTACTAATTACTGCGAAATATGTAGACCAATATGAATAGAACACGTTGAATATCACTGCGATGTGCGTTTGATCGGTGCCTACTTTGAAATTGTATGGATTTAAAAACGCACCAAATTGCTTGTTGGAGAAACCAATAATAAAAGAACAACACTGTTACATAATTTAAAATTTACATTTATTTAAAACATAAAAATGAATTGGCATGTTTTCTTAATTCAGCATTTCACTTATACATTTTTTCATTACCAACATTTTCTTATTCTCTTTAAAATTACCTTACCAAAATTCATGTTTTCGAAAAACATGTGAAAAAACAATTGAGGAAAACAATAAATATCCTAGCATAAAATCGATAATATTAACACGTAATGAGCATAATATAACAAACAAAGTTTTCAAATGACTATTTTAAATTTGTGTTGTGAAATAATATATCTACTTGCTAACGCTATTCAATCCCTCAAATTAATTTATAAAAGGTATCTACATTCGCCAAAGTTGCTTCTAAGTTGACAGACATAAATAACTGTACGTTAGTTAAGGTATATTGAAATTTTTCAAAATCCAGGAACAAAATATTTAATTGATTGCAAATCTGACATTTAGACATGAAATGGGACAGGGCATGGAAAATCGAATCACTTAGAAACCAAAGTTAACATCTTGAGAATTAAAAAATATATTTCACGAAAGCGCATTTTAATACTAAAAGTCAAAATAAGTTTAAATAAGAATATTTATTTTCCAAAATATAGCTCTTTTTTATTAATGGATGTACAATCATTTTCTCAAGTGTTGTGAAAACTAATTTTTCAATTTTTAAATTTAAATTAGATGCTTTCTAAAATACGCATATACACGTAGACAATGTTGAACAGAACAGTGAATAACAACATAAAATCTGCAAATAAAATTTAGTTACGTTTACTTATGCATGATTCGATACCTATTTATCTACTATTTTTCTTTTTGGTTGCTATGTTGTAAAGTCATATACGTTTCACGGTTATAACTTGTGCTTTCCTATTAAGACTAGAGATTCCCTTATTAAAAAAAGTATATTTCTTGCATAGGTATTGTTACGAAATACACCGTTACGCCGCCCCAGTACGACGCCTATGGCCGTCGAGAGCTTTCTGGACGTACGCACGGCGCTGATGGGTGAATCATCACTGCTGACGGTGTCGACGGCCTAGAGGCGGGCGCATAAAGACAGATCTGGAGCCGTCTCGAAGCAGCGTCCAGGGGAGTCGCGAAGCGGAGTCGCGATGGATGTTCGTGAAGGATCTCGATCAGAGAATATGAGTTTAAATAGAGCCGACCGTAGGTAATGGATTCATTCATCCAATGAAGACAGTCGAGAGCGCCGGAATAATTTCTGTACATATTCGTTGCTATAGATAGTGTTGTAATTCCAACTAAAGAAATAAATTTTTTGAGTTTTACCAACGCCCGATTTATTATTCGCCCGTCAATCGTAACACTGGTGTCAGGAGTGGGATTAATTGTGAAATAAATCGGGATTCGAATTTGTGTTGGTGCTACTAGGGGAGACCGGAACAAAGTGAACTTTCGAGAAAATTCTCTCGCGCGACGTCCGTCAAGACTCTAGAAGTTTCTAGAAGAAAATTTTATGCCGACTACCACAAGAGCGCAAACAGCCAACATGGAGGAACAACTGACCAAAATGGTGAAAATGTTGAGCGAAAATCAAAGAATAATGGAAGAAAATAGAAAAGAAGATCGAAGAATAATGGAAGAAAATCAAAGAATAATGGAAGAAAATAGAAAAGAAGATCGAAGAATAATGGAAGACAATCGAAGAATAATGGAAGAAAATCAAAGAATAATGGAAGAAAGTAGAAAAGAAGATCGAAGAATAATGGAAGAAAATCTAAAAGCTATGCAAACTACACTTTTGAACAGCCGAAGTGAAATCCTCCAAGTCATGCGAAATGAAGTGGACGAGGTGAGAAATGAAATGGAAAACAAGATCAAGGAGCTCGAAGAAAGGTTGCAAACACCACGACCTACAATTACGACCCCTGCAGAATTCAGTCCGGTGAGAGTTCAACCCCCTATTTTCGATGGGCAGACGTCGTGGACTACTTATAAGAAGCAATTTGAAGCTGCGGCCTTGTCGAATAGCTGGAATGACCAACAGAAAGCGACCGCTTTGGTAGTAGCACTACGAGGTGCGGCCCTGGAGATTCTACAGACATTATCAGAAGAGAACCAGAAGGACTATACCGCCTTGACGACCGCCCTTGAACTCAGATTTGGAAATGAACACCTCCGGCAAGTTTTCGTAGCGCAGCTTAAATCTAGGATTCAGAAGAGTAGTGAATCTCTTCAGGAGTTTGCGGCTGATGTTAAACGCTTGGTACACCTCGCCTATCCTGAAGCTCCGCAAGACTTCCAAGACAGACTGGCAGCAGAAACCTTCGTAAACGGCGTAAGAGATAGTGAGGTAAGAAGAGTCCTGCAAATCTCCGGGTTCAAGAAACCATCCGAGGCGCTGATTCGAGCGTTAGAAGTGGACGCCGCATACAACAGCCCACCTCGTTCCAACGTTAAGATACGAGGCATCGGGGTTGAGGGCGAAGTAAACCCTATTCAAGAGAGTCTCGACAAAATGAGCGACAACTTTGAGAAACTCGCCCGCGAAATAATTGCCGAAATCAAGACGGGCAGTTCTAGACAACATGGAGGGCGCCTAGAATGTTACAGGTGTGGGCGTCAAGGGCATATTAGGAGGGATTGCCGTGTTAGATCGCCAGCGCCGATGAGGAGATCGCAGCCGCGACCTCCTCTACATCAGGAGCAGGAAAACTAAAGGCAGTCGGTACCTCGGGGCGCGTACTGGCTGCTAAAAGAGAAGCCCCAACGACTATAATGGTTAGAAGCATCGCGGGGAGCGTCGACAGTCCGACAATCAGCGGAAAAATCAATGGACGGGAATCGAAGATCATCATCGACACAGGAGCCGAAGTGTCCGCTGCACGCAGATCCAGGTTACAAAATTGCCAGATTAAATCAGTATGTGCCGCCACGAATGTGAAGACGGTCACAGGAGAAACAACACCGGTTCTGGGTACAGCGGTGGTGAATGTAGAGCTCGGTCGACTCCGAATAAAGCATGAAGTTCTGGTGGCGGAAATCGCTGACGATTTCATTTTGGGTATGGACCTAATCAGCCGGTATGGTTTAATGATCGATCCAGAACAGAAAATTCTGCGTTTTGGAGCCGAAGAATTTGTGCTGGGACGTCCGAATGTGGAAGGTGCAACGGTCAGACTAGTGGTCTGTCAGACAACGAAGGTAGATGGTAATGCAGAAGTCATCGTCCCCGCCAGAGTAGAGACGAACCCCGGATACAG